TCTTATAAACACTCTCATTTAAACGGAAGAATATCTTGCTGCTCAAAAATCTGATGCCATAACCATTCGGTCATCCTGGACACCAGCTGTATTAGACTTTCCTATCTCTTTCTGTAAAGGGAGATACAGGCTTCAGATAGTTTTGAACGTTATTAGATTATAAAAAATGTATGACTAGAAGTTTTTATGAATCACAAAACAATTTCAATAAACTATTTTATACATAATTTGAAATAATGTAAAATATATTATTTGTTCATCACTTATAATTTGAATTTATTCTAAGTATTATTTGTGCTCATTTTGGACAAAACGCTTTTGTCTGAATGCATTTTCTCGAATACGCCTCAGAGTTCAACAAAACAATTATTTGTTGCTGAAATATAACTGAGACCACTAATTGCAGGATTGAATCCATCCCTGTACAGTCCTATAAAATATCAATCTTTTTTTATTAGATATAAATTGAATATTCAGTACAAAATCTCTTACTTATATCAGGAAGTATACAAAAATCGCTAGATATTTTCTTGATTGGATATAGTCATCAACCATGTGTAGATAAAAAATGTTAAATTACCTTGCCTGCAGTATTGTCCCTCCATTCAGCTATCTTCAGAATGATATAATGAATTTTCTGATGGTTTTATATAAGTATTCTTTTGGTTTTACTAAAGGGGGGGTTATGAATTTTCTGGACTGTTGATATGCAGTTTTTTAGATTTTGTATAAATATTTGTGTTCTTGATTGATTTGCCAATGCAACTTTTGCATTACAATCTTAGGCACTAATATTAAACATATTCAATAAGATTAGTCTTAATGACTATTAATCGGAATGTATGAAATCAATTCATTTATAAATTATTATTAAAGTACAGCGGCCGCAAATGTGGACGTTGGTATTTTATGGAATGTTTATTTTTTCCACATCTGTATCATAAATAAGTTAGAATATGAACATTTTTCTACAGAAGAGTTTTAATAATAAGCATGCCTGATAAATTCAGCACTAAGTGTGGTAATTTCTTCTAACGATGAAATAAAAAATTAAACACTATAACTAATTAATATTAATTTCCCCCGAATTATGTTTGATATTAAAGGAATTCAGATTAGGAAACATGGTTTATTTTCTGTTGATAAGTGAATACGAAAAAAGATAAAAAACAAACATCCAGGAGTGGGAATCGAACCCACACATCTAATCAGAATATTCAAAGCCACTGGCATCCGCGTTCATCACCAATCTCATAAACACGCTGACCTAAACACACCGACTAGTTCTCCACAACACTGATACGCACTCTCATAAACGCCCTGACCTAAGCATTACGAGTAGTTCGCCAGAACACCAGTAAGCCCTCTGATCTAAACACACCGACTAGTTCTCCACAACACTGTTACGCACTCTCATAAACGCCCTGACCTAAGCATTACGAGTAGTTCGCCACAACACCTGTAAGCTCTCTGATCTAAACACGACTAGTTCGCCACCACCGGTTTTGCCAATCCAGACCAAAGTGAGCGCGTGACACCAGCAACCCTCAAGAATCGGATGCCATAACCTTTCGGCCATCCTGGACACACAGACGATTTCCACTTTCCTATCTCCTTCTATGAAGTGAGTACCGATATAGGCTTTTGATGATTTGCTGTATTTACTCTTTTGCCAGTTCACTCCGAGTTTTGTGTTGACGTGTTTTCAATCTATCTATGTATCAATTTATCTATCTATCTATATAAATATATATATATAGATAGTCTTAAAATCCAACAAACGGATAATTTCTTTAAAAATTGAATTAAGTGTACAAATTCTATGTTTGAATTTTTTGTGCTAATTAATTCTATTAATTTATTATATTTGAAATAATATTAGTTTACAATAACACAACAATAAAATAAACAATGATAAGCTTAAACAATAAACAAAGATAATTTAACGATAGCACATGCTGACAAACATATCTCTTTATTTATGACATAATTAATCTATCTAGCTACCCTTTTGAAACATTCAAATAATTCGCCATCGCTTGTCTTAGTGGGTATCTTCTTATTTTAAAGCTGGCCCCATCTTTTATAATATCCTATATACTTATCTGCATATCTATATCTAAATATAATTATCAGAAATTCAATTTTTGTATTGGAAATTGTATATAATTTTATTTCAATATATTTGATATATAAACTTAAATCAAGGATTCATTTTTTAAAAAAAATGGGGGAAAAAGAAGAACTCGCAGATACATAATTCTATGTATTGTTCTTCTTTTTTTTTTTAATATATACGTTCTTTTTTTTCATATGAGAATAAGTAAACATTTTAAAATACAACCCCTTCTTAAAACACACGGATTTGTTCTTTTTCTAACAAAGATTTTAAACTTTTATCGATTTTTTCCGTAAGCATTCTGTAATAGAATCTTACGAAAGCATATTTTGACAACAGTTACATTTCTCAATATACAGAAACATAATCAAAACTTTTCCGGACAGCTGTCAGAAATATTCATTAAGGAAAACATGAAAAATATGCTTTAAATAGCATAGATACTGCTTGAATTTTTGAGTTTTGGATGACATTCAAATATGCGACAACATTCATTCAGTGATTTCAAATTTATAATTGGTCAATATTATAATGCTAGTGTAAATTTCAAAATTCTGTTAAATATTAATAAAATACTAGTTGACATATCTTTTTTGATTAATAGTTTTTTAACTCTCTAATTTTAATAGCAGAGAATCATTCCTTTTTTATATATAACTAAGACATACATTTTTTTAACAAGAAGTGGCATAATATACAAACTACAACAAACTTTCAAAATTATAAATCGAATGCAATTTTAAAAGAATAGAGGCGTCATATACGATTTTTGTAAAGCCAAATATTGCGCTTAATCACCTAGGATTCAATTATTGGAATAATATTTGCCTCTTTTTCTTTATGGGGAAAGAACCTTTACGCATTGTTTGCTAAACAATATGAAAATGTATAAACATAATACTTTGTTTTCCTAACCCAGCGGTATTATTTGTTCTTAACTTTTATAAACAATAATATTTGATTATATTAAAAATATTTGTTCTTAATTTGTATAAACAATATATTGATTATGCTGATAATATCTATTTTTAATTTGTATAAAAAATAATATTTTGATTATATTGGAAATATTTTTACTTCATTTGTATAAAAAATAATATTTTGATTATATTGATATTATTTGTTCTTCATTTGTATAGACAATAATATTTTGATTATATTGATAATATATGTTCTTAGATTGTATAAGCAATAATATATTGTTATAATGTTTATATAAGCAATAATATATTGATTATACTGACAAATTTGTTCTGAATTTGGGTAAACAATAATATTTTTATTATATTGATAATATTTCTTCTTAACTTGCAAGTTGTTTCATAATTATTAATCAATAATGACAGTTATATTTACATAAAAGTCTATTTTTATATTTGAGTGTATTAAGAAAAAAAATTATCGACTTGAAAAATCAGTTTCAGTTTTAATAAATAGCTTTATTTTGTAACATAAAAAATAATATTTATTTATCACCATGATATCAATTTTGATTTCTTTTTTGGTATTGCAGAGATAGTTATATATTTTATATTATTTGTAAAAGTTTATGACATCATAACTATTTTTTCTTGGTATAATAAATAATTTTATACAGCATTATAAGTATAATTTAATACTAGAAGTATAATTTTATAAATTTGGGACAGAAGTAATTTACGATAACTGGTTCTTAGTTTTTCAGAACAGTGTGTCTGAAAAAAGAGAATTCAGAGCCTTTCCAGGAGGATGGAGAAAAAATGGGAATTAAAGCGAAAAGAGTCCATAATTTCTCGTTCATTTTTGACGCTAACTCTGATTTATTGGAAGACATAAAATGAATTAACAAGTGGCACATAACAAAAGAGTGCAGGCAGCAATAAAAGTATAACGATCTCTTCATAAATATAGGCATGAGTGTATGTGTGCAGTTTCTTTGAACTTGAGGTTATTTTATGAAATAAATACATTTAATCCAATGTCGTATTTGTTTGGTAGTCGTATCTCTAATAAAAACAACTGAAAGTCCAACAAGATTATATATTTATGATATGGCAGAACAACTTGCATTATAAATATATTTCCAGATATTTACAATATATTTCCAGAACAACTTGCATTTAAAAGTGTAAAATTTCAGATAGAATATTATGTGATCTATGTTGGGATAGATTTTCCATTGGACATTCATACATGGCCGTATATTTCATGTTCAATGGTGTTCTTGCACTTTCATCTCCTATTGGACATGCAGGAATATAACAGAAAAAAAAGTGTAAACAATAATTCACTTATTTAATTTCTTCATAAATATATGTGGGAATAGTTTTCTTGAATTTAAGCTTTATTACAAGAAAAAAATTACATTCTATCAATAGTCGTTGTTGTTTATTTCTCCAGTAATAACAACTGAAATCCCAACAAGGTTGTATATTTGCCAAACGGCTGAACAATTTGCATTTAAGAGTGCAATATTTTAGATAGAATATTATGTGACCTCTGTGTTGGATATATTTTCCATTTTCCATTTTTTTCCCATTGATCTTGCTTTTATGTTGTGAGAATTTTTTGTTTTGTATTTGTACTGTCTTTTTTTACTTTATTTTTATGGCATCTTCAACTGGTCTCAAATTGTAAAGGAATTTTTACTTAAATACTTTTTAGCCATAAACTATTTGGGTTATAGGGAGCCGGATTTTTCTTGTCCTTGACTAGTTTCAAATTCGAACGCTTTAACTGAAATCTGTATTAAAAAAAAATTTCTTTAAAGAATTATTTTTATTGGTTTATTTAAATTTTTTCATGACCATTTTTATACATAATATTTACTCAAATTCCTTTCAGGAGCTACTAATTATTTAATTAAATAATTAAATAATGTAAAATTGTTTTAAAAGATCATCTGGTGAAAAGAAATACTTTTTTATTTCAAAGTAAGAATGAGATTTTTCCAGAAAAGAAAAACGTTTGAAATTTAGTATTTTCTATTGTTTTTCATAGGGGCCTGATGACCGAGTGGGTAGCGCTTTGGCGCTCGGTACCACAGGTATCGGGTTCGAATCCCGGCGTTGCCATGGGTGTTTGTAGTGGTTCGGAATCCACTTTAAACCGTAGGTCCCGGTCCTAATAGGATCGTAGAGTGTTGCCGGGGCTTTGTTACTCCACGTCCGTGGCTTACCATCAAGTTACACACCCCCCCTGGGTAGTGCAAAGTGAGTAACGTCGGTGCAGCCCTTATGGCATAAAAAGATCCCGGTCTATTTGCCAGCTGCATTAGAAGAAAAAAAAATTGTTTATTATTGCTGTTATGCGTTTTGTTCTTACATTAAAGTTTAATTACATTCTGCTTCTAAAATTACACTTTGTGGGTGACCTGTAATATGCGACGGTGGCTCATTTTTTTTATTTCTTATTAATTATAGATTTTTTTTTATTTTTAATTTGTTTTTTTATCCATTTTACTTTTTATTTAATTATTTTACTTTTTTAATTATGTTTTATAATGAAACATTTGTTTTTATTTTGAATACCATTTTTAATTTTGAGAAATTATATTTTTATTGTTTGTTATTTATTTTTTAACATTTTAAGCAGCCTACTATTTTTCAAATTTAATTTTGCTATTTAAGGAGGTTAAAGGATTTTATGCATGTATTCTAGAGTGGCCAGAATTAGCTTCTGATAAATCTCTATATCAAGATGGCATTTGAATTAATTTTTTCTAATAATTAATTTAAT